CTGCTCAGAAATACTAGAAGACTTAGATCAAGTCACAAAAATAATAAAAGGTAGAAAGTAGCAGCTTGAACCATTTTGAGACATAGAGCCTGCCTAAGCTGTTATGCCAAGCCGTGTAAGTTATGCCCATTTTGTGCTGTGTCCCATTCTGAGAAAAGAATTGTGCGAAGGTGAAGCCAAGAATTGGACAGTGAACACATGCAGCAACTGTGCGTGGCCTGCCGGACCCCTCAATGTGGGGGACCCCCTCGATTACACTACATCTCGTAGTGTAATCGAAATATTTTGGAGTCCAGAATAGAAAGGGAAGTAGTGTCCTTAGGGCATCATAGAAATCACGGTAATGCTGGGGCCTTCCTCAAGGTACAAGGAGTAAATCTCAGCACTATGAAGCTACCGGCAGCCCCTGCAGCACGAGTTGATCCCCTCCAGGGAGGGACCCCCAGGGCGCAGCAGACCTCCCCTGTCTCCCTGCTGCTCCCCACAGCAGTGGACTTTGTGGATCCGCCTGTTCCACTCCCTGCTCTGTCTCTGGGAAGCCTCTCACCCTCCCCCCACCCCACACCTCTGGCCTACACACCAGCTCTTGTTTGTGTAAATAAATAAAAGGAAATCTTAAAAAGAGAGAAATCAGCATAATGAAAGAGATGCCCACTCCTTGGGGAGCTTAATGTTTATATTAATTTGGGGGGATTATAGAGTTTCTGTTTAATGAATTCAGAAAACTGAGGTGCACCGGTTCTAGGACCTCCCCGCCCCCTTGGGGTAGTGACAGGGACCCTGTGCCACTGCCATGGCTAAGTCTGTCTGGACTTTGACCTGTCTGGCTTGTGTGTCTTTCTTTTTTTTTTCTTTTTTTAAAGATTTATTTATTTATACAGAACCGGGGTACAGGCCAGAGATGTGGAGGGTGAGAGGATTCACCAGAGACAGAGTGGGGAGCAGAACAGGCAGATCGACGAAGTACACTGCTGAGGGGAGCAGCGGGCAGGTCAGGAGAGGTCTGCCACGCCCTGTGGTCACCTCCGGGGCAGGCGGGGATCGAACTCATGCAGAAGCGGCTTTGGGTTCTCAGTGCTGTGCTTTAACCCACTGCGCCACCAGGGAGGGCCGTTGTGTGTCTTTCTAACTGGGCTGGACTCTGGTGTCCTGTGTGACATCAAGGCTGGTTTTGCTCACATTGTATCTATTGCTTTGGTAATGTCATGCTGACGACTGTTTTCAGATTTCAGAGTCAAATCATCACCTACCCCCAGAAACTTAAACTACCTTTAGTCCAGATCCTTGCTTGAGATTTCAAATTTTTAGCGATAAGCTGGGTTGAGACATTAGTGGAAATCATTTATCTAAATTGATATTTCATCCGTGTGTTTGTCTAGTGCTAAGCCTGAGAGATTTTCTGGCTCAGACATGAGTGTTCTGAGAGCGTGTAGTGAAGGGTCTGGTAATGACACTGTAAACCTGCTTGGATAGGAGCATTGCTCTGTGTCTGTCTCTGTTGACTGAGCGTGAAGGAATCAGGACCCAGGACCTCGAGGGGTTGGAACAGGAGGTGGAGAAGAAGTGTTTACAAATTAGACAGGAGAAGTGAGCAGGAAGGACTGTGGAGTTGCTTGTTAAATCATTAATGGGGAACCACTGGAATATTGAGAGGATTACCTCACCTGCTAGGAAGTTCATCCCTGCTGCAGAGTGGGCCGTAAGATGGAGGAGAGAGGTGCTCAGAGAGACCAAGAAGAGATGCTGCAGAAGGGCGATTAAGCTGGACTGAGATAGTAAAGGTGGGAATAGACAGTTTGAGGACATGTGGTCAAGAAGCAGAACTGATGGGACTTGTGGGCTGAGTGGTGTTATTGGAGGAGAGGACGAGGAGAGAGAGAAAAAGTTAGAGAGGATTCCCAGTTTCCTTGTCTCGCTTGATTTACCTGTGTATCATATATTTACTGATAAACACATTGCGCCACACTCTTCTCTGGGCCTGAGCTGCAAAGATGAGCTAGATCAACAAGAAGCCTGCCTCTCTCACACTAGACTGGGGAGACAGACATAATTAAATCAATACATTATGTACTTCGCTTTATTACTTGTATTGTGGTTTCAACCACTGAGACAGAAGGTGATGTCATCTAAGGGGTGAACACAGATCAAGATCAGCAAGCATGTGGGTGGCAAAACATCACCAAGAGAGTCAAGAATTATTTCGACACATTTCTTTGGGGAGGCAGACATTCTAGATAAAATTTTAAATCACATAGTACAGACAACATACCTGTCCAGGATTGACAGGCAGCAGGGAGGACAATTTGAAAAGTTGTGACATTAAGTTCCATGAAAAAGACAAACTCTCCTCCAGCATCTCACTATTCAGAGAAGAGGGGTTACATCAAACAGTGACCTTGAACTTCAAGTAGAATTTACCCATGTTGGATGTGGAAATGATTGTAAGGACCAGTTCGGTAATTGCTGCTGAGATGATTCCTTCATTGATTGCTGGGATGAGCTCCCAGGAGGAGTGAAGAGTTTGTGGGGAGTGAGGAGAGCAGGAGAGCATGTGGTGATACGTTGATTTTGAGGTGCTGGGGAAGATCCAGGTAGGGGCTGAAGTTGGAGACAGGATTTCCCCGCACACCCCCTAGTAGATACAGGCCCTGCTTGCCTGAAGGGGTCAGCATACAGTTATTATGTTTCAGACCTTAAGAGCTCTGAGGAGACAGCTGTTAGGTAACTATTTAAAGGGCAGCCATTTGAAAAACAGACTCCCAGCTCCAGGCCCACAAGTATCAGCTTTCTCCCACCTTTGCTTTTGTCAGCTGAGCTCTTTGTGACACATATAGTTCACTCGTAATTTTTTGTTATTTCAAAGACATCAGTATTATAATAAACAGGAGGGAAGGCAGGTGTTGCTACTATTGTACATTATCTCACCTCTTCTAGAGCTAAGAAGCCCTAGAAGCCCTCCCAAGACACACTCATGTGTTTTTGAGTTCTCAGTGACGGGCCAGGGAAGGTCCAGAAGGCTCTAGTTTGCCCTAGGGAAGTGTCAAGAGATTATTAATTGCCTTATGCATTTAAATGCATTGAAAAGCTGAGCTAAATTTACCCTCATACATTATTTTAAACAGTTTGCTTTTATGCCAGGAAACATGAAATTCTTTTTGCCATTGTACTGTTGTCATGGGGAATTTGTTTTCTAGTCAAATGAGTGTGTGATGTATTTATAGATTTTTAAATTTAAAAATGGTGAAAATTTTGCCCTTGTTTGTTTAAATGATGACGGAAACTTGCAGTTTGGAATTACCCAGCTGTGAAGATTTCCAAGGACAAACAGTTAGACTTCTGCTTATCTCTTGACCTTGTTTTATGGTTGTATCTTGGATTATTAACGTTATCTTTAACTGGTCTACTCTTCATCATGAAATAAGAAATCTTTCTTGGATAGGAGGAAAATGCATTTATCTCAACCTCCCTCCACTTTCTCCTCCATTTATCCATTATCTTTAACATGATTTAGTCATGTGTGATGGATTACTGCAGTGTAGGAATGAAATCGGTCTCCAGACTCAACTTCTAGAGCATGGAACTGTGAAGCTTTTCTGTTTTCTTTGCAATATTAGTCTTTGGCTAATGAGAACATTTTGAATGACCAATTCATGTCCAGACTACATAGCACTACTATGGAAATGATAATAATATGGCCCCAAATCTGGGATTCTTTTCCCTAAGTCCCCCATCTCTTTCTGACGCCTTTCCCATCAGCATTTATTTAAATTACATATAATTGACATATACTTACTAGTAGTTGGATCACTTTTATTTTTAAAAGATTTATTTATTTATGCATACAAGAACTAGGGTGTAGGCTAGAGGTATG